GGCCGGGGTGTTTTTTTATCTCTGTGATAGTGTGGGGTGAGCGACTCCGCCTGATTAAACACACCCTGTATCAGCGCCGTCATAAATGCTCTCAGCTGAGCTCCTGGATGTTTGCTATGAGGCCCTCAGGAAGGTGCTGGGGCTCCTGGTTACAGCTTAATCCAGTGACATGTTTCCTTAACCTGTTAGAAAATTTACATCAAAAGTCTCGTTTATGATCTGTTTATTTTACCTTCCAAAACCACTGAATATTATACTAACTGTAATAATATACTAAGTTATCACACCACTAAATATTTATTTGAATGAGAACACCAAAAACCACTAAAAAAACACAACAAAACATAATTTCATGTCCAGGTTTAATTTCTGTACATAAATCTTGCCCTTCTGAGGTTTTATGAAGTTAAATCTGTGTTTTGGTCCATTATTGGGTCACAAACCTAAAAAAAATAATCTAACAGTTTAATAATGGAGAAGCTTTTAGTCAGCTTTATGTTTTTTGAATATATAAAAAACTATTTTCTGAGAACGTATTTCTTTAAGAGCAACTATGCAATTGAACAAAAGTCGACTATATTCTATTATTTTCCATGTGAATCCCAGATTGTTCATTCTTCTTTTCTGCAAAGTGCTTTAAGTCAGTCCTAGCTGTCTTTATCCAGGGTGGATCTGATCCTGACCTTTGAAAAGGAGGCAGGGAAAGCAGGATAAAGCCTTAGCCTCGCTGCATGCTATTAGCCTCGCTGCATGTAGTTAGCCTCGCTACATGCTGTTAGCCTCGCTGCATGTAGTTAGCCTTGCTGCATGTAGTTAGCCTCGCTGCATGCTGTTAGCCTCGCTGCATGCTGTTAGCCTCGCTGCATGCAGTTAGCCTCGCTGCACACAGTTAGCTTCGCTGCACGCAGTTAGCCTCGCTGCACGCAGTTAGCCTCGCTGCAGGCAGTTAGCCTCGCTGTGAGCAGTTAGCCTGCTGCATGCAGCGAGGCTAACCGCATGTTGTTAGCCTTGCTGCATGTTGTTAGTCTGCTGCGTGCAGTTAGCCTCGTTGCACGCAGTTAGCCTCGTTGCAGGCAGTTAGCCTAGCTGCATGCAGTTAGCCTAGCCTTGGAGCTAAACCAGGTCCTGGAAAAGGACGGTTCTTGCGCCATTTCTCTCTCTCTCTCTCCGGTCGCAGCTGTCCCACGTAGGGAAGAGGATTAGGGTATCTGGAAAAATAAATGTAACATAATTTAAAATTTTATTTCGGTTTAATATGGAAAAAAGTCAGAATTCTGACTTGTTTCTCAGAATGCTGACGTTAATCTTAGAATTTTGGATCTTAATCTTTAAGGGCACCGTGAAGGCAGAGATGAGTAGGGGTTGCACAGTGTGAGAACAAACATTGTGAGCTGTAACTTCACACGGTATGACGAAACCCTGCGGTGTCGTTGGAAAAATTGTGAAAAAATAGAAAAAAATGGTAGTGTACGGCTTTAGCCATCCTTACTTTGCTGGCACTGTTTGACTATTAATAGAGACTCGGTAGTACCCATGATAATCCGCTGCTACTTTTGTAGAATATCGGATCCATCCCTACAGATTTGGTCCCGGTCACAGAGGATTAAAAAGAATTGGACATGTTTTTTGCTGCTGCACGGTGGCGCAGTCTGTAGCACTGTTGCTCTGCTGGGGATCTTTCTGTGTGTTCTCCCTGAGCATGGTGGGTTCTCTCCGGGTACTCTGGTGTCCTCCCACAGTCCGAAACATGTCTTTTAGGTTAAATTATGTCTCTAAAATGCCCTTAGCTGTGGGTGGTAGTGTGCATGGTGGTGTGTCTTTCTGTTGCCCTGTGACAGACTGGCCGCCTGTCAAAGGTCTACCCCGCCTATCAACCATAGATGGTCGGAAATAAGCTTCAGCCCTGATAGAATAAGCGGGAAAAGATGGATAGATGAGGTATGGACGGACGGATGGACGGACGGACACAGCCTAAAAGAAACTGGTCCAGCCCGGAGCATGAAGGGTTCCCCTCATTTAATGAAAGAGAAACCAACAATGGTCACAAAGATAGCCTGAATCTGACAAAGTTAATAACTAAATGAACAAATGAAAGTCAGACATTGTTTTACTGCTTCAACAGAACGATAAAAAAAAAAAAAAACTCTTGAAAAAGACCCGGACCAAAAGGATGGTTCCCAGAAAAAAGATAGAAAATAACTCCAACCCCTTTACAGGGGAACAGAGGACCTCGTCTATTCAGCCAGGCCAACTATTCCCTCTAACG